TGAAAGAAAGAAAGAAAGAAAGAAAGAAAGAAAGAAAGAAAGAAAGAAAGAAAGAAAGGGTAATTCAGCAGATGGACATAAAATCAATATACAGAATATCTGTACACGAAATGATAAAGAAAACTATCTACAGCATGTAACAACAGACGTAGCCCAAGCTGGCCTCAGACTCACTATGTGCACCATCATACCTGGCTCATAAAATGCTGGGGATTCAACCCAGAACCCTGGACATCTTAGGCAAGCTGCCTATCGACCAAGATATAGCCCCAGCCCCGGACCCCCTTGACTTTTTACTTAGGGACAGAATCTCTAAAGTTGGCTGATTGGCCTGGAACTCATGATCTGGCCTCACGCTCACAAATGCTGGAATTCCTAGCATGTGCCCCATCCCCAGCCAGGAATACACTTAACAGTAGATACTTAGACCTCGATGAAGAAGCTAGATGTGGTGCTGCCCGCTTTAATCCTAGCATTTAGAAGGCTGAGGCATGAGGGACTGGGAGTTTGCATCTGGGCTACATAGTGAGACCCTGTCCACCTCCCACAGGGAAAAGCGGGGTGTAGTAGTGCATTCCAGCCCTTGGGAGACAGAAGCTGAGGGTCCATCTTCAACTGCAAAGGGAATTTGAGATAAACTTGGGCAACATGAGATCGTGTCTTAAAAACAATTTTTTAAAGCCTGAATTCTAAAACAGTCCTGAAAGATACAAGTGGGCTTAAAGAGAGAAACATCGTCTGGTTACAGGTGGAAGGCAGGACAGAATAACAATGCTTTGTGTAAGTTAAGGGACGTGTAAAGTAATTCAGATACCAACAGACACTTTATTAGGAGATGGGTGAGTTACTAAAGTTTAGTAACAAGTAACTGTGCACAATAGAGAAAGATAAGTCTGCAAAAAGCCACTATTCCACCAAACTGAAAGCCACTGATGAAGTGGCAGAAAATAAGGAAGACGTTAAAGGGTCAACCACAGCAGGTCCAGAGATTGGCACAAGTCTACCAAGTTTATAACACAGCAAAGGAGACACCAGAGCCCTTGGCAAAGGCACACTATAATTTTAAAGGCTTCTGGGGTAGCTGCAAAGACAAAGTTAGACCCATAATTTACAGCTCGCATGAAGAGAGACTCCAGATGGCACAACAAGCAAACATACGAGGAAAGTGGTAGATTTCTTACCCGGTATAGGGAAAACTTTTCTTTCTTTCTTTTTTTTTTTTTTTTTTGGTTTGGTTTTTTGAGACAGGGTTTCTCTGTATAGCCCTGGCTGTCCTAGAACTCACTCTGTAGACCAGGCTAGCCTTGAACTCTTGAACTCAGAAATCCGCCTGCCTCTGCCTCCCAAGTGCTGGGATTAAAGGTGTGCACCACCACTGTCCGGCTTAGGGAAATCTTTCTAATTAGCTCAAAAATCATTTGAAGTTTTAAAAATTTTACCATGTAAAGGAAAAAGGCCAAAACAACAACAGAATCCAATATAAGATACGTAGTTGGTACATCAAACATCACACATAGTGGCTAAAAAGCCTTTGTATCCAGTGAGCACATGCAAAGGGGCCAGGGCTGTAGACTTGCACTGGGTAAGTGTGCTGCTTTTTCTTCCATAAGACCCAAGTTTGCTTCCAAGAAGCTATTCCATTTCACTCACAATCAGAGAAGTGCAAATTAAAACCATGTTGAGGAAGAGTGGAGACGCGCTTCAGCAGTTACAAGCTCTTGCAATCTTAGTTCAGTTGCCATCACCCAAGGTGGATGGCTCACAAGTGCCCGCAACTCCAGTTCGAGGGCATCTGAGTCCTCTTCTGATTTCTGGGTGCTACACACATGTGGCAGACACACATACATAAAAACAAAGTATTTTTAATCCCAAAACTAGCCGGGCGGTGGTGGTGCATGCCTTTAATCCCAGCACCTGGGAGGCAGAGGCAGGCGGATCTCTGAGCTCGAGGCTAGCCTGGTCTACAGAGTGAGTTCCAGGACAGCCAGGGCTACAGAGAGAAACCCTGTCTCGAAAAACCAAAAAAAAAAAAAAAATCCCAAAACTAAGCCAACAGGTAGATCTGTGAGTTTGAGGCCAACCTGGACTACATAGTGAGTTCCAGGGCTATGCAGAAAGACCCTGCCTCAAAAGTAAACAATTGGAACTAGAGAGAGGACTCTGTGGTTTGGAGCAAGGGCTGCTCTCCCAGAGGATCCAGGTTTGGTTCCCAGCAACCACATAAGGGCTTACAACCATCAGTAACTCCAGCTTAAAGAGATCTAACTCTTGACCTTTGTGTGCACCAGGTACACATGTGCCACCATACATATATGCAGGCAAATACACATAAAATAAAAATATTTTTAAAAGAAAAGTTTTCTGGACTATAAATTTGGCAGTTTTTTTTTTTTTTTGCAAGTTTGGCATTACGTGCTATTTGCAGACTTGGGGAAACTGTCGCTCCCCTTCACTGCTGCAGCAGGCACACCCTGGTAGGACCTCAAAGAATATCTGCACACACTTGGTCCAGTTATCACACTTTTAGGAGGAATTCACCATAAGGGCACACTTCTAATTACAGGAGATGCATGCATGACCCAGTTTATACTTAGAGCTTTTAGTAGTTTTAAGACAAGGTTTACAAAACACTTGTGCTGGCCTGGAACCGCTCTACAGACCAGACTGGCCTTGAGCTCAGAGATCCTCCCACCTCTGCCTTCTGAGTGCTTGTGGCACTTTTGTAATTGTGGAAACTGCAGGAATACAAATAGTCACGTAGAGTGGTTAATTCACAGGGAGGACAGCACAGGTGCTGTGTGGAAAGCGGTGTTTTCCAGCCTGTGCTGAGCGCAGAGAGCGGCTGGAAAGCAGTGTCTGTGTAAGAAAACATCCAGCTGTTCATTTGCTAAAGAAAAGATAATAAACGGACAAAGTGCTTGCTGCACAAGCACAAGAACCTGAGTTTACCCCAGCACTGGGGTAAAAATCTGGGCAATGTCTGTTCCCCCAGGGCTGGGGGTGAGACAGGCCAATCCCTGGAGCTCATTGGTCGGCCAACCTAACTGAAGGAACTGAATTTCAGGTTCACTGAGACTTTGTCTCAAAAAGTAAAGATGGAAAAAAAAAAATAAAGATGGTCCCAGGTCCACCATGGGCATGCACACCCACAGTGTAACTCTAAAGTTGCTGATTCTTTTTTCTAAAGATTTGAAAGATTTGTGTGTGTGTGTGTGTGTGTGTGTGTGTGTGTAAATGTGTGCATATGTGCAGGTATTTGTGTTCATTCATGCAGGCCAGCATGGACTACAAGAGACGCTGTCTGAACACCAAAAAAGAGCCAGGTGCGGTGGCATATGCCTGTAACCTGGGCTACATGAGACTCTCTCCAAAACAAACAAGAGCCCTAGAAATGTCCATCACCATATAAATGCCCTAGCTGTATCACTTCTGGAAACGTGTGGCTGTACGACTATAGGATTTTTAACATACCCAAAAGATATCTACACATCCATTTTTTTTTTTTCGAGACAGGGTTTCTCTGTGTAGCCCTGGCTGTCCTGGAACTCACTCTGTAGACCAGGCTGGCCTCGAACTCAGAAATCCGCCTGCCTCTGCTTCCCAAGTGCTGGGATTAAAGGTGTGCGCCACCACTGCCCGGCACTACACATCCATTTTTATTGCACTATTTTGTAGTAGGCACATTATCTGTCCATCAACAGATAAGTGGATAAAGAAACTGGTATATCTATGCAATGGGATTTTATTTGGGGGGCTGGAGAGATGGCTTAGTGATTAAGAGCACCGAATAATCTTCCAGAGGACCTGGGTTCAATTCCCAGCAACCACATGCTCATGACTGTAACTCCAAGATCTGACACTCTCACACAGACATATATGCAGGCAAAACACCAATGCTTACAAAATAAGAACAAATTATATTAAAAAAGAAATTCTATTTAGTCATAAAGAAAGTGAACTGATGTCATTTGCTAGACAATGAATGTAAATGGAGGTCATCATAGTAAATATAAGCGTGGCATGTTTCACTTACTTGTGGATCATACATAGACACATACATAACACAATACACATGACACACATATATACAGGTGCGGAAGCAGAGGGTAGAAGAAAGACTCACAGGAGGGAGCAGAGGAGGGTGGAGGGGATGAATTCACTCAAAGAATGTAATATAGTTGAAAGAAATTGTCATCCTGAAACAGGGTGGCCAGGGCAGGCCTACAGCAAGGTGGACGCTTGGGAACTGGACTGCCTTGGCCAACCTCAGTGCAGCTCTCCTACCTTTCTGAGGTGTGAAGGGCTTAGCCCTTCCTCCGTGTCACTGACAACACTTTCAGGCACTTGGGAGATGTCATCCTGGCTGGTGCTGGCTCTCTTGGTCTCTGCTGCACAGCTGCTCTCAGGAGGATCCTTGGGAAACAGCCTTTTGGGCGCTGCTCGAGAGATGCTCTCTGGGTTCTGGCTGACATGGCTCTTACCCTCCTGGGCATCAGCCTGTGTGGGGTCTGACCTGGGGCATTAAGAGGATCAGATGGAGTTGTTTACTGGAAAATACATTTTCTGTAACCAAGAGAGCAGTGTGAGGTGATGATGGAAGCTGTGGATGAAGAAGTCTGTGAACGGGAGCTGGAGAGATGGCTCAGCAGTTAAGAACACTGACTGCTCTTCCAGAGGTCCTGAGTTCAATTCCCAGCAACCACATGGTGGCTCACAACCATCTGTAATGGCACCTGATGACCTTTTCTGATGTGTCAGAAGACATTGACAGTGTACTCACATATAATAAATAAATAATTCTTTAAAAAGAAGGAGAAAGGAGGAGAAGGAGAAGGAAGAGGAGGAGGAGGAGGAGAAGGAAGAGGAGGAGGAGGAGGAGAAGGAAGAGGAGGAGGAGGAGGAGGAGAAGGAAGAGGAGGAGGAGGAGAAGGAAGAGGAGGAGGAGGAGGAAGAGGAGAAAGAGGAGGAGGAGGAGGAGGAGAAGGAAGAGGAGGAGGAGAAGGAAGAGGAGGAGGAGGAGAAGGAAGATGAGGAGGAGGAAGAGGAGGAGGAGGAGGAGGAGGAAGTACTTGATGAGAGTTAAGATTAATGCACACAGTTATCTAGAAATGTCCGGGACAGACTTGAGTTGAGCAATCCAGCACCCATCAGACATGGATTATGGTCGTAGGACCCATGGTGATTTGAATGACAACAGCCCCCACAGGCTCATCTGTCTGAGTGCTCGGTCCTCAGTTGGTAGAACTGTTTGGGAAGGATCAGAAGGTGTGGCCCTGTTGGGGAGGTGTGTCAAAGTGATGGGCTTGGAGGCTTCGGAAGCTTCCCGACATCCCCAGTGCATTGTTTCCTGTCTGTGGATCACCATGTGAGCTCTCAGCTGTCCCAGTCTCCACGCCTTTGCTCCACCGTCGTGGACTCTAACTCTTTCCAACCATAAGCCCCATTAATCACTTTCTTTTGTAAGTTGCCTCAGTCCGGTTGTTTTAACACAGCAATAGAAAAGCAACTAAGATAGAATCACATGAAACAGGCCGGGCGGTGGTGGCGCACGCCTTTAATCCCAGCACTTGGGAGGCAGAGGCAGGCGGATTTCTGAGTTCGAGAGTTCGAGGCTAGCCTGGTCTACAGAGTGAGTTCCAGGACAGCCAGGGCTACACAGAGAAACCCTGTCTCAAAAAACCAAACCAAAAAACAAAAACAAAAAAGAATCACATGAAACAGGTTCGGCTGTGGGCCTGCAAGACGGTTCAGCAGGAGAAGCACTTGCTGTCAACCCTGACCTGAGTTTGATCCCTGGGATCGTGAATACATGTGTGCCATAGCAGGCATGCACGACACACACACACACCCATACCACACACACACACACAAACACACACACGCACATGCACACACACGCTCAGACATATTGTACGTGGACATCAAAGGACGGCTTTCAAGAGTTGTTTTTTTCCTTCCATCATGTGAGTACCAGGACTCAAACACAGGTCATCAGGCTTAGTTGCCAGTGTCTTTACTCACTGGCCCATGTGCTGGCCTATGGATCAAGCTTTATGAGGTCATGAGAATGCATGTTTTCAAATCATAAATCATGACACTGGAACATTCCTGCAATATGAATGTCATGGGGAGACCAGGATACAACATGACCCTTATCTTTAAGAAGCTAACTGCGAGTCTGTTGTGGTGACACTGATCTGCTAGCTCATGCCATTGTTCCAGGGAAAGCAATCACTATGCACTTGTGAGGACCTGAGTCTGCATTTGTTTAAGGCTAGATTCAGTAATGTGATCTCAATGGTCTTTTGTTTTTGTTTTTGTTTTTGTTTTTGTTTTTGTTTTTGTTTTTTTCGAGACAGGGTTTCTCTGTATAGTCCTGGCTGTCCTGGAACTCACTCTGTAGACCAGGCTGGCCTCGAACTCAGAAATCCACCTGTCTCTGCCTCCCAAGTGCTGGGATTAAAGGCGTGCGCCACCACCGCCCGGCTGATCTCAATGTTCTTATGCCAGAGACAAGAGTACTCCTAGTTCACAGACTAGCTAGCTTGCCATGTGCAACTATGAAGGGCAAGATACCTTTGGTGAAGCAAGGCGGAAAGCAAGGGCTAACACCTGGGGCTGTCCTTTAGCCTCACAGATGGATGGCAGCATGTGCCATCCCCCAGTATTAAGGAAGAAGAATAAAAAGCCTCCAGCCTCACCTTCGTGCCTGGGAAAGGCGCAGTGACTGTGGTGAAGATGTTCTACTTGGATAATCCGCTAACGTGGCCAAGATAAAGTTCGCCTCCAAGAGCATGTCGTCAACACTCAAAACAACCGGCCTAGAGGGGCAAGCAGCACAAGCCACGCTCATTTCTGTCCGGCGGTGGGAGCACATCAGCTAGCACCATCAACTTAGCAACAAGGAAACAGCAGGAGCCGGTGCTCCTTCAGTATTTCCACAGGCTGACAGTCCTACGAGCTGGAAACTCTTAGCAACCACAGGAAGCCCATCAGACTCAGCTTTACTTCTAAACTACATTAGAGGTTTACACACAGGGTTTTCATGCTTAAGCCATGCATGATTAGACAGTTCTGTCAGGGCCAGTGCAGTGTTCCACACTGCAGAAGAATTATCTTTCTTAGTCAAAGTACCAAATTATTTATTACCGTTATTACTATTATTATTTCTTTTCAAAACAAGTTTTCTCTGTGCAATCCTGCCAGTCCTGGAACTCACCCTATAGACCAGGCTGGCCTAGAATTCAACAGATCTGCCTGCCTGTCTCCCAAGTGTGGGAGTAAAGGTGTGCAGCACTACTGCCTGGGCCAAATTACTTAGTTTTGCTTTTTTGAGGCAAGGTCTAGTAGTACTTGCTCACCTCAAACACAATGTATGGCCAACGCTAAACTTGAACTTCTGATCCTGCTGCCTCAACCTCCCACAGGCCAGGACGGCAGACATGTGCTACCACATTTGGCCAAATGACCAATTCTAAAGCACCATGCTAGGGCCTCTTTCAAACTTTCAGTCTGATAACCGTTCCTAATAAAGCTGAGAAAGTCCTGAAGGTAACATCAGCTTCACCAAGCTCCCACGGCTGGCATTACGGTAACAGAAAGGAAGACAAACCCCCCGAGCTCTCAGGACCTACTTTCCAGGAAAGTCAAAGTAGATGGCTAGGGGTGTGTGCATCACTTCTGAGAAGGTCAGGATCCCCTGCAGGGAGAGAAGCAGAAGGTGGGAATCAATCGTTCCTTTAAAGGTACTAAAGAAAATCTGACTTCTACTCTGACACTGGTATTTACTTACCTTCAGTTCTTTAAAGCAAAATGTTATCTCGGTATCAAGTCCAACCTGAAAGAAGTCAAACTCTTCCGGGCCAAAAGACATCTCACTGTACACAGAGCTGGTTAAATCTGTTTGATGTAGGAAAATCAAGATTAAAACCCAGTATGTGCTAACACTCAGCACAAGCATGTAACCATGAGTTATTCATAGAGAGAGGGGCATCTTTGTTCTGCTCTGAAGGTAGAGTTTAAGGGACACTCCACCCCTTGAAGCTGTGTAGCCCTGTGACTGCTCTCGTCAGCAAGAAAAGGCAAAGCATGGCTACCACCTGTGCCAAACTAGTCTCGGAGGCCAGCCGGCTGGCACGCCTCAGGTACTGCCTTCAGACCTTTGGGTGTTTCTAGCTCATCATTACCTAACCACAGCTCAGGTGAGGTTCCCCTGAGTCCCATCAGCCTGCAGAATCCTGAGGGGTAGATACCGTCTTTTTGCTTCATTTATTTCTGTCTATCTATCTATCTATCTATCTATCTATCTATCTATCTATCTAAATTTTTTAGTGAGATAGGGTCTCATGTAGTCCAGATTGACCTCAAAATTGCTATGTGGCCAAAAGTGGCCTTGAATTCCTAATCTTCTTGTCTCCACCTCCCAACTGCTGACATCACAGGGCTGGTCATCACACATAGCTAAAGCTAACTAATCCCAAAAAGGGAGCACTATATAGTTTACATATAAAATTAAGTTATACTTTTTTTTTTTTTTTTGGTTTTTCGAGACAGGGTCTCTCTGTGTAGTCCTGGCTGTCCTGGAACTCACTTTGTAGACCAGGCTGGCCTCGAACTCAGAAATCCGCCTGCCTCTGCCTCCCAAGTGCTGGGATTAAAGGCGTGCGCCACCACAGCCCGGCTAAGTTATACTTTATTAGTGAGCTATATATCCTATGCTGTTTTTAAAATATTAAAAATTTAAAACCTCTCAAATTTAAAAGTTAAATAAAGTAAGCTGGGCATGGTGCCATAAAAGCCTTTAAACCCAGCACTCCAGCAGCAGAGGCAGGTGGATCTCTGTGAATTGAAGGCCAGCCTGGTCTACAGAGTGAGTTCCAGGATACCCAGGACTGACTGTTACAAACAGAAATTCTGTCTTGAAAAATCATTAATTAATTAATTAATTAATTAATTAAAATCATAAAGAGATACATCAAACTAAATTATAAAAACATGTCTTAAAAGGTGACTTAGGGTTCAAGGCCAGATTGGCCTCTGTCTCAAAATAAAAGCTAAAAAGATGTCTACTAGAAGCCAGGCGTGGTTAGTGACTCATACTTACAATCCAGCATTTAGAAGCTGAGGCAAGAGGACTTCCACCAGTTCAAGGCCAGTGAGCTAAGCCACTCAGTGAGTTCTAAACTTGGCTGAGCTAGTGCGAAGGATGATCCAAAGAAGAGAAGGGTCTGGGGACCTGGAGACCCAGCAGCAGAGTGCTTGCCTACCTTGTGTGAGGCCTGGGTTCAAAGCCCAGCACAGGAAAAAGAGGTGAAAGAGGAGGAAGAACCCAGAAGAAATGAGGCATCAGTGACAAGCCACATTATCCTAGCGCTTGGGACGATCAGTAGTTCAAGATGAGACAGGTCACGTAGACAGACTCCTCAGAATAAGTAAGAGAAGAGAAGAAAATGCCTACCGACAGTGCTGAGAGAGTGTTTGAAATTCACACAGGTGACAAGGGATGGCAGAGTAATCAGATGACACTATCCCAGGGAAGAGGATGACATCATTCCAGGGAAGAGAGAGTCATGTATGATGTAACAGACATGTTTCCATGTTACATGATAACAACAGCTGCCTGTGAAGCTGGACATCATTGCATTTAGGAAGCAAACCAAACCTCAACCGGAAGCTAAGTTATCAGGCTCCAAAAACAGACAACAGCCAGGACTGTCGATGCACTAGAGAGCCCTGGACCCTCATGGCTGCCTGGGGGGAACAACATGGTACTCCCATCAGTGGGAAACATCTGGCCATTTTCACATGGCTAACTGGAAAGTTTCAATATGACTCAGCAATTTCCCTCCTAAACCTATGTCTAAAATAAAACGTCTACACAAAAGGTTGTGTATGGCCACTCATAGCAGCATGATTCATAAGAGTCACAAAGTGAAATAATCAAAAGATCCATCAGTGGTGAAAACGAAGCAATCCATGTGCAGAATATCAATAAATAGTGAAGAGAAATAAAATACAGGAAAAGACAGCACAGGAAACCTGCTGCATGCACGGGAGCAGTCACAGAAGGCCACAAGCTCTGAGTCTGTGTCTACGGAGTGTCCAGTCTGGGAAACACACAGAGACAGAGCGGTTCAGTGGTCACCTAGGGCTGGGGCTGGGGCAGACCGAAAGAGTCGAATTATAATGGTGCATGTACACTCACAAGTACACTACGTGGCTACTTGAAATGATCTGTTGTATATGTGAGTTATATCACAACATAGCTGCCCTTTCAAGAAAATCTGAGGGTGCTGGCCTCGATCCGAAGTCCCCCCATCACAGTGAACACATCACATGAGAACGGCCATTCTGAGGCTGAGGAGTGCATTCTGACTTTATGCTTTCACTATCAGTCACACTTTATGCTCTTACCACAAAAACCAAACCAAACCAAACCAAACCAAATCAAACCAACAACTCCACTCAGGATAAATTAGGAAAGCACTTAGCATCTCGTCCTCTTTCATGACGTCCGTCCTTCCCCACATCCCACCCTTCCTCATCACCTAACACCACCCTTCCTTGTTCCCTTTCTATATGTTATAGTGTGTGTGTGTGCTACACTGTAGAATCTACATATGAGGGAGAACACGTGTCTTTTTCCTTGTGATTGGCTGACCTCTCAACATTATATAGTTCAAGTCCATCCATTTTCCTTCAAATTTTGTGATTTTTCCCTAGAGCTAAATAATTTTCCATTTTATATATGTACCTTCATGTACTGATGAACACTAAGTCTGTTCCATTTCCTTGCTTTAGTGACTAAACACTGGGTGCAGTTATCTCTATAGTGGGGTCGTGGAGTCTTTGGTTATCTGCCCAGGAGTGAAATAGCTGGGTCATGGTAGCTCTAGATTGTTTGATTGTTTCTTTGTTTTTAGAGACAGGGTTTCTTTGTGTAGAAGAAATTGCTCTGTAGTCCAGGCTGGCCTCAAACTCAGAGATTTGCCTGCCTCTGCCTCTCAAGTGCTGGGATTAAAGGTGTACACTACCACTATCTGGCTTATCTTTAATTTTTTGAGGAACTTCTACTGGTCTCTAGATGGCCATACTGGTGTGCACTCCCACCAGCAGTGAATAAGGTTTCTCTTTTTCTACATCCTGTCTGACATTTGTTGTCAGTTCCTGATGACATTGCCTGTAACAATACATTTCTCTTATAATAATTTGTATATATGTTTGTGTTTTGAGCTTTTCATTACAAAACTGCTTTGGTTGGCTGGATGTGCTGGCTCAACCTTTAATCCTCAATCCTTGGGAGGCAGAAGCTGGTGGATCTCTGTGAGTTCAAGGCTAGCCTGGTCTACACAGAAAGTTCTAGGCAAGCCAGGCCAAAATATTGAGGCCATGTCTCAAAACAAAGAAACAAAAATTTACTGTTTGATAAATGTCCATAATACAGGGGGTCTGGGGAAAGAAGCGTATTCATATCGAGAAGACTCCTTTAACATGTCTTAGTGCTGCGGTGCTCACCCAGGCTCCTGGGGCATAGTCTCAAGTGTGCAAGGTGCTCCCCCATTATCCCAACAAAAGGCTCATTCCACAGCTAGTGTTGTAACAGAGAAACTCAGTAACAAAATTAGACAGTGGCCAGCCAACACTAGCTGTAGCCACTCATTGGACAACTCCTCGTGGGCAGTGCTTATGAGCCACCAAACAGGCATGTGGATCTTTTCCAGGCCAGGCGAGGGAAAGGGAAGCCATTACAAAGTCACAGGTCAGGAGCCATCCCCTGAAGCTCACGTATCTACAGGTCAGGCTCATGGGTGACTACCCATGCAGTGTGACCCAGGCAGGCCACATGGCTCCTCTGTGCTTCCATTATTCACATCACTAACTGCACCTGCCTCACAGCTTGATTTAGAAGACCAAGTGACCCCTGAGGTATACTACGTAAACACAACAGTGCTTGAGCCCAGTGCAAACTCTTCACCTACTGGCTTTTCACCTTAAATGCTCGAACTCCTGACTTAGCACATGGCTCAGCAGCACAATGCCCATCTAGTGTGCATGCGCAGAGGCATGGCTAGCTGTCAGGCCCGTAACAGTTCTGCAGTACAGCAAGATAAGTACACGGCTTCTATCCTTCTGCTTGTCTCCCAAAGTCACGAGGAATGGAAGATCCCTGGTGCAGGCACTGCACACAGCAAGGTGGGCCCAAGGGGGTCCTCTTTCTAGGGCTCATCTCCAAAATTCCCTTCCACACAGTCTTGGCGGGACTGACTTAGACTTAGTATCCACGTTGCCCTGTGTGCTTGCAATCTGGGGTACTGTAAAGTTCTAACTCCAAGGCACTTCCCTCTTTCCATGTAGTCTCAGTTAGACTGCTGGCCTCTTAGGGCAGTAAATGGTGAGACACACACCTTGAGACCTTAACCAAAGCTGGGCATATTAGAGAGAGCCTGCAATCCCAGCTACTCAGGAGGCTGAGGCAGAAGTGTGAGTTCTAAGCCAACCTGAACTAGTTAGGAAGGAAAACAACAGGAAGTCAGTCCTGATAGGAAAAAATATATATTTGCAATAACCACTCTTCATTTTAAAGTATCCTGAAATTCAAAGCCATACACATTAATTGTGAATCATCTGAATCTCTCAGACCTGTCCATCCATTTCACCTCTTTCTCTATGCGGCTGCTTCTCAGCTGGCAGCTGCCATTACAGCAGGGACGGCACCCTGTGTGGAGTCAGGGAGAAGCAGGGAGTGCATCCCCTCCCCTCCCACGGCAGACATCAGCCTCACCCAGGGATTCCCCACTCGAACTCTTGAGGCAGAAGTTCCCTGGAGTGACAGAGAAGGTGACTTCCTCTTGATTTGATGTTAGAAGAGCAATGGCCTCAGCCAGCAGTCTGTAAAATGTGATGAAAAGTATTAATATTATTTGAAAAGCAGCTAAGACCTTACTGAATTCAAGTCTTGAATCTGGAAATAAACAGGCCTGTTTATTATTTAAGAGACTTCCTTCAAAAATCTACCTTCTTTCTGATTATGAATATTTTTTTTTTTT